ATCTTCCCGCCAGTCTCCATCCCAACCCCCCATCTTTCCCGACCTTACCCGCCGGTCTTCATCCCTCACTCCTTGAGCCTCCTTCCTTCCACTGCGTACCTCTGTTCTCCCTCCCCGAACCTCCTCCTGAAGCTCCCGCCGTGGAAGAACGGACACAGCCGGGAGAAAGGACAAACCCGAGAGAGAGAGAGAGAGAGAGAGAGAGAGAGAGAGAGAGAGAGAGAGAGAGAGAGAGAGAGACTGACCTGCTTCTTGGGCGACGGCGGCGGCTGGCTGGTACGGCGGCGAGGGCTGGACGATGGCGGCGGCTGGATGGTTCTTGGACGCTGGCGGCTGCTGCCTGTTTCGTCGGCGATGGCGGCGTCTTCCTGGATGGGTGAGGGGCTGCAGGGGAGATGTGACGGGCAGCAGCCGACGGCTTCCGAACAGCGCGCCCTCCAGATTCAAAAATCGGCCAGTTCGAAAATGCTGGCCCTGCCTCCCGCCGCCACCCCACCTCAGTCTGCACAGACTGTGGTGGGTCCGGCCTTCGACCTGTGTCCGGTAGGGCAAAAACAAACAAAAAAATCGGCCTACTATTTTTCCGGGGCCTATGAGGACCCAAAAAACGTCCTTGGCGGCCCCTTTTTTTTTTTGATTTTTCATGGGGGGCCTCCGTTCCGGACGTCCAGGACCGGACACCGGACCCCTACATAATGTTTGGGGGTGTCTGGAAACCGGTCCGGACGTCCGATCGGTTTCCATGTTTCATATATTCAAAAATATTCCAGCTTTCGGAAATCTGAACCCTTACCTTTCTCAGAGTGAAAACCTCTACCAGCACTGAGTCTTGGCATCCCTTTGTAATGACCCGTCAAAACACAGACTGAGAACACTGCTGATTTCTGAGTTCTGCCGCTGGAATGGATGCCTTTCTGAGATTCCCTTATTCTGCTGAGTTTGCCAAGTCTGTGTATGTGTGCGTGCTTGATGGTCTGCTTGCCTGTCTGAGTGCTGGTCGGCCTGATTGTGTGTGTGACCCGCAGGGGTATTAGCTTGCTTGAGGGCAAGTAGGACCGGTACTTACCTGTGGCCGTGACATTGAGGTTTGCAGCGGGTGGAAAACACTCGAGTGGTGGGGCACGAGGCCCGTGACACTTAGGGCAGCGGGAAAACACTCAAGTAGCAGGTAGGCCGGTACCGCACCAAGTAGCAGTAGGTGTGCCGGGTACTTGAGGCCGAGCAGAAGAAGACGAAGTTGGCATTTTTAGAGGCATGGTAGCTGTAGGCCAGGTCTAGGCGGGTACCAGTCCAACCAGTCTGAGTCTAGGGCCTGTATGGGCAATATCAGAGTCTGCAATGATGTTTCCCTCCGAAAGGGAGGAGGTACCGGTTGGCTGGGAGGCTGAGCGGCCTGGAGGTCACCGAACAAGAGGCAAGTAGGCCGCTATATCTTCGGGCTGAGCAAGAGCTCAGCCTCATTCTTCGGTGTGCAAGTTTGGCGACACACTGCTTGGAGCGCCGGCTGGAGGAGCGCTGGGCACTACAGCGCTGCTGGGAGGAAGTAGGCCGGGAACTCCCACCTCGGCTACGGTGGAGCTCTTCTGTATCGTTCTCAAATGGATGGTTACTCGGTTCCATTGTGCTATCTGCTCTTGCTTTGACTACTTGGACTTCAGTGTGATTTTGCAATCTGGATTTCTGTGCTTCGTCCACATTCATGTTCCTTGCAGATAGTTGTTGCGAAAGAAAAAATAAATTCAGAGATTTGACGAAGTCCTACTTCATTCACTAATGAGTAATCAATAGATCAAGCAAGCTGGCTACTTGATTGAGCAGGTCCTCTGAATGAGAGGTCCGCTCCGATACCAAACTGTTGCATACTGTAATGGTGCAGACCAGAACAAGAACCGACCTCTCAATATGTACAAGATAGCGTAGCGGAAGACTTAGATACCAATGATCCGAACAATCAATATTGCAATGCAGCCCCGAACATATATCATCATCATCATCCCATGGTGTGAAGGGGTCTGGCGCTCACACAGGAAGACTGCGCCAGCCCCACCCATACGCAGACGAAGAAGAGGGGGGTTAGACGAAGAAGAGGGGAAGATGGGAATGTCGTCAACACCAAGTCTTCGGCACAGGCCCAAACAGTCCCTCGTCAAAATGTTTGAATCCCAATGTCGAGTCTGGATCCAATGTCGTCAAGTCTCAAGTCACAACTCTCTCTCTCTTTGCCGTATTCTGCTGATACTGAGAAGTCAGGTGGTGAGAGGGTGAAGAAGAGATGGTGGACTTAGAAGAGGAAGAAGGAGAACTCTCTCTCTCTCTGTGTCCAGTACTAACCTGTGAAGTTGGCGCCTTGATGCAGGTACCTCGAAGATGGAGCTGGAGCTTTGGCGCCACAGGTAAGTACCGCTGGCCTCCGCCAGCCATCTCTCTCCAACGCTACTACTACCAGCTACTAGCGCCCTGTGCTGAAGAGTACTCTGCAGCTATGAGCGTCCAGCGCTGAAGACTACTGCTAGTGCTAACTACTACTGCAGCGCTCCTCCTGAGTGCTGGGGCCGAATCCTGAAGACTACTCGTGCCTACTGTCCAACTACCTACCCGTGAAGTGCATGGGAACTTCCTATGTACTACTAGGAGGTTGCTCTTGCCAATGCCGAAGGGAGTCAGGGGCTGCCGCTGCAGCTCCTGCTCGAGGCTGTCGTGGGGAACAGGCCAGAAATAGCCTGTTTCCGAAACCCTGTTTTTGTGGCTGAGTACTAGGGTAGGTCGATCTTATGAGGGCCCGAAAGTGGCCCTCCGTTTCAGGCTGAAAAGCCTCAGGGCTGAAAAGGCCCTGTTTTAGGCTGAAACGACATAGGGCCTGCAGGCCCTCGTTTTTCAGTCTTTCAGGCTGAAACGACAGGGGCCCGTAAGCCCTTATTTCTAGGCTTTTAGGCTGGAAATACGGGACGGGCCCTGCAGGCCCGTCTGGCTACGCAGTATGCCACACCCCCCCCTCCTTGAAAGACCGAGCTTACCTGCGAGGGCGAAGCTGTCTATCTGAGGGAGGGACCACAGTCCGGGTGGGAGGGGCAGGTCGTGAAGGTCCCTGAGCTAACCTTTGTCGCTCGTAGTGAGCGTAGATCAGCGGTGCAGATGCTTTCAAATCTGTTCCTGAAATCCACCGAGTGTCGTCGGGATCGCATGCTCTGAATGTAACTTTGTACTGTCGAGGCTTGTTGCCGTACTTGCGATCCGTGATGACACGGTCAACCTCCTGATGACCATCCATAGATGGAGGGTCCTGCGATCGTCGGCCCGGGAAATCGTCGCTCTTAGCTGGTGTATATGTTGCCAGCTTCGAGGCATGAAAGACTGGATGGACCGTCAAATGCGCAGGGATGTTGATCACAAATGAAGGGCCATCGGGCTCATCGCCGGCGGTTGCTGTTACGGTCCATGGTCCAAACCACTTGGGAAACAGTTTGCGTGAAACGTCCTGTTCCAGTGCAAACTCTTTCGCAGAGACCCAAACCAGATCACCGACGCGGATGGGACATGGAACGCGACGCCTGTTGGCCTGCTGCTGCATGCGGACTTGAGCCATTTGCATGTTCGCGCGGGCTTGAGCCAGCAATTCCCTGTACTTCCGAACGAAAGCGGGAGAGCAAGCGGCGTTGATGTCGGCTGGTCGTGGGAGGAGAAGGTCGGCGAAGATACGGCCTTTCCGTCCACCGTGGTGCAACTCGAATGGAGTCACGCCGATCGCCGAGTGCACCGAAGTGTTGTAGGCGAACTCGATGTCGGGGAGGCCGTCAACCCAATCTTTCTGGTCCCGACGGATGAGCGTACGAAGCATCATTTGAGCAGTTTGATGTGCCCGTTCTGTTCGCTCGTCCGTCTGTAGACGCCGAGCTGAATTTGGTTTCATCTTCGTGCCGGACTCCTGCATGAGAGCAGTCCAAAATGCCGACATGAAACAAGTGTCGCGGTCGCTGACTATGTCTTCCGGTACACCGTGGCCACAAATCCAACCGGGGTGCAAGAGGCGTGCCAGCTCGGGAGCCGTGGAGTAGTACTTGCAAGGGAGAAAACGCACATACTTACTCAAATGGTCCACAACCGTGAGGATGCCGTCGTGCCCGAGGCGATCACGGGGAAATGGTCCGGTGACATCCATGGCAATGGAGAGGCCGGGTTCCCGTAGGATAGGCATCGGGCGCAACTCGCCGTAGGGGTTGCGATTGCGGGGCTTGCTTCGTCGGCAAACTTCGCAAGAGTCGCAATACCGAGTGACATCGGTAATGAGGTCGGGCCATCGGAATCGTTGTCGAAGCCGTGCAATGGTGCGGTTGACTCCGAAATGACCGATGAGTCGTGAGTCATGATACTCACCGAGAAGGCGAGTCCGAAGACGACGGTCTCGTGGGACACACAATAAGTCCTTGCCTCTCGAGTGGAGGAGCAAGTACCCGTCTGGAATGCGATAGTGGCTGGCCGGCGGGTGATCCGAAGATAGTTGCGCATACAACGTGACGAAGTCCGGATCCGACTCATATCCCCGAATGAAGTGTCGCTGAAGTTCCTCGTCGAATGCGAAGGCATGATGTGTCATAGCGCAAAGATCAGGTCTTCGCGAGAGTGCATCTGCTGCGCATTGGAGAGGCCGGGAGGATGTTTCGGTGTGAAGTCAAAATTGGTCGATGAAGTACATCCATCGTCCGATCGTGCTGCTCACTGTACCCTACGTCTTGTAGTAGGTCAATGGATTGTTGTCTGTAACCCATGTGAACCTACGACGCCCAAGGAGGAAGTGTCGCCATCGCTTGAGAGCCATCACGAACGTGAGCAGCTCCTTTTTCCTTGCATCATCAAGCGAGTTGATGGGAGGCACTTCGTGGCTGAAATACTGCACAGGGTGCCAGTCGTCGCCGTCGTGTTGTTCCAAGACTGCCCCAATGCCATAGCCGAAAGCGTCAGTTGTCACTCTCGTAGGCAGGGTGGGATCAGAGATGCTAAGGACGGGTGCCATGAGCATGGCCGTCTTGAGTGCTTGGAATGACCGGCGTGCGTCGTCATCGAATATGAATGGCACCTTTGGCGATTGTAATCTCGTCATAGGTGCAACAATCCTTGAGTATCCGGTGATGAATCGTTGATAGTAGCCCGCCAACCCCATGAATGAACGAACGTCCGTGGTGTTGGTGGGCTCGGGCCATAGGCGGAGGGCCTCGATCTTGTTCGCAAGCGGACGGATGCCTTGCGGCGTCACATAATGTCCCAAGTACTCCAGCTCCTGCCGCACGAATTCACATTTGTCGCGGTTGGCTTTGTACTTGGCTTGTCATAGCCGCTCCAAAACGGTGCGCAGGTGTTCCACATGCTCGTCCAAACTCCGACTGTACACCAGGATGTCGTCGAGGTAGATAAGTACGAATCGATCCATCATGTGTCGAAACTTCGTTGTCATAGCCGCTTGGAAAGTGGTCGGGGCATTCATAAGGCCAAATGGCGTAACCAGCCATTCGAAATGCCCATATCGCGTCTTAAACGCGGTCTTGTAGCGGTCCTCCTTCCGAATCCCGAGTTGGTGATATCCCGACTTGAGGTCCAACTTGGAGAGAACTTGGCGCCGCTCAACCGTTCGAGAAGGTCGTTGATGCGTGGAAGAGGGCCGACGTTTCTGATCGTTTGCGCGTTCAGCTTGCGATAATCGATGCACAACCGCAAATCCTTGTTCTTCTTCCGGACGAAGAGAACAGGAGCACCGTATGGCGATGAGCTAGGCTGAATCCAGCCTTGCTCCAGAAGGTCGTCGAGTTGTGCCCATAACACACTTAACTCTTCCTCGCTCATTTGGTAGATGCAACTGCGCGGAGGTACGGCCCCGTCCTCGAGGATGATCTCGTGGCGGATGGGCCGATCCGATACTACTCCGTGCGGGCCTTCGAACACGTCGCCGTAGGCGTCGAGAAGCTCGGTGATGCGTGGGTCCGAAGATGAGTCCGTCGATGAAGCGTCATGGGGCGGGAGGGCGTGGAGAAAACACCCCCCCATCTCCTCGATGTTGTCTCTGATGATGGAAGCTCGCATGCTTGCGGCGGACACCACGTGACAACTGATTGAAGGGTGGGGAGGAGCTACCTTGCATGGGACTAGTATTCCATTCCGATCACGAACGTGAACGGTGCGGCGGTAGAAGTTCACCGGGTGATCCTTGCTTTGCAGCCATGACATGCCCAAGATCATGTCGAATTTGGTGTCCAAAATATCGAAGGACACCGCCTCGCTTGCATGCGGGGCACAGTACACGGGGACGTCATCAATGCACCGGTCGATTGACTTGTGCGTGTGACCTTCCGCCAACGTGACTTGCGTCGGTTGGGACTTCCTCCGGACGCGTGGGCCAAGGCCGACGCGCACCATAAAGTCCTGGCTCATGTAGTTGCGAGATGCTCCGCAATCGATCAAAGCGCTGCAGGTCCCCTTTCCGATCTGAATGCGTACATATAACGATGGTGTGTCGATGTCATCGTACCGTTGTGTCTTGAACTCGCGGTCGATCTTCGCAATGTAGGCGTGAAGGTCGACAACCTCTACTCCGGCGTCCATCAACGGAGTTGGTATTGTAGTGTGCAAGTAATCCCGCAATTGTGCCATGAGCACGTTGCAATGTGGTTTCGGCAATCGACCGGACCGGGGAAGGGGCATCCATTGGAAGTCCGCAAATGTCAACAGGTCGAGCTCTTCAAGTCTTGACCATGACGTTGAATCCCCGGCGGTAGATGGCGGCGAAACTGCCGAATCGGTTGCCGATGGTGGTGAAACCGTGCATGTGGTAGATTGTTGCACGTGGAGCGGTTGGTCCAACGGTGGGACCAAGTGGACAACATAGTCCTCGTAAGCATACCGAGAACTCACGACATTCGCATCCTCCCCAGATGTGTAGGAGGCCGCTAGCAAGGCGGCCGAATCTGGCGGAGTGAGAGGTGGAGTCGTCTCACCTCCCGCGCAACTCAGTTTCCCGAGTTGATGCGAGGCCGAACATCCTCCTTGCCTTGATCCTGGCAGAGGGAGGTCTTGTGCTTGGTGCTATTGCACCAATAGCAACAGCCGTATCGGCCGCGGTACTTATACTCGGCCTCGGTCAAGTGAAACTTGACCCATGGTGTTGGCTGTCCGTTTTCGGCCGGCGATGCGGTTTTCGCCTTCCCGTTTCCTCGGGACTTGTTGTTGCTTCGCTGCTGGACAACAGCCACCTGATCTCCCTCACGTGACGCTTGGGTGGCTGTCGGGTCTTCCACAATGTTGTCCGATTGGACTGCAGCGAACTGCTGCGGCCGCGGACCAGTTTTCACCTTCTCCACATAGGTTGGCTGCCATGTTGATCTCTCGTGTGCAACTGCCCTATTGGTCTTGATGATCTCCCTTGCCTTGTCGATGATTTCGGCGAAGGTCGCGTATTGCTCACGATCACCAAGTGCAAGGCTCAATGCAGCACATGACCTGTTGTAGAACTCACGGCGCAGATGCGAAAATGGCAAGTCGAGATTGGGCGTTGTCGCGATCTTCTGCCATTCCGTGAGCCAGTCACGTGTTGCTGTGTTGCCTTGTGTCATGCCGAAGAGACGGTTGATGGCGAGTGCAGGTGCATCGTCCACGATGAACCGCTTCTTCCATAGCCGTGTTAACTCTTCCCATGAGATCTTGTCTTTCAGATCTGCGACGTCGACGTCGTGGATGGATGCCAGGTGGCTTAACCAGATCTGGCATCCGCCCTTTGAGTTGAGAAACAGAGCGCCGATGTACGTGTGCTTGGCGACGAACAAAATCCGAAGTTGTGTCGTAAAGCCTTCCCACCAGAGGACCGGGTCTTGATGCGTGTAGTCATCGAACTTCTCAATTTGGAATGTCGGCATCTTATAATGCGTTGTGTTGTTCCATCCTTGTTAGGCAGCTGCAGTTGCTGAACCTCGGTCTTCAAGGTATCTACCTGCTTGCTGATGGTGGTTGGCGCCTCGAAGGTGATGATGTCGCCGAGCATTGCGACGACGTGGTCGACGCGTTCCTCCAGTTGGCGGGTAGAGGGTGCACTGCTGAACTCGCCAGCCTATGGTCTTGGTGCAACTTGCTCCAAGTCCTGCATACGGGAATCAAGTGCCCGTGCTGCATCCTCTTGCTGAGCCTTATGGTTCCGCATGGCCCGTTGCATATTCGCCAGCTCGGACTGCAGGTGGTTACAAGTGTAAACCAACCGAGTCACGAGTTTGGCCATGAATTCCCTGTGCTGCTCTTCCGGTGTCGCGTCGTTGTGCTCTTCAGATGGTTCAAAATGTCAGTACTTGAGCCTTTCGATGCTGGTGGCTTCATGCCGCTGCAGCAGATGCTGGGCTTCCTTGCGGCGTGCCTGGGTATCTGCGTCTGCTTCGGCCTGAAGCCGCTGCTTCTCAGCTGTTGCTGCTGCTTCAGCCTGTAGGTGGGCAGCCTTGGCTGCCAGCTGGCGCTGTTCCTCAGCCTCGATCAGGGCGAGCTGAGTCTGGAACCGCTGTTTGTAGTCGGCAAGAGACTCGTTGGCTAGTTGGCCTGGCATTCCCAGAGCTGCACCCATCATGGTGGCGGGGCACTGCTGACGTGGCACTGTTGTTGACGTGGCACTGCTGACGTGGCACTGTTGTTGACGTGGCACTGCTGACGTGGCATTGGTGACGTGGCACTGCTGGTGGGGCACTGTTGACGTGTCACTGTTGCTGACGTGGCACTGCTGACATGGCATTGCTGACGTGGCACTACTGACGTGGCACTATTGCCGACGTGGCACTGCTGACGTGGCATTGCTGATGTGGCACTGTTGCTAACGTGGCACTGCTGACCTGGCACTGTACCAACCCGGAAATGCATGCAAAGGGGTTGGTGGGAGGGAAAACGTAGGTAGGGAACCAACCCAACAATACTTTTCTCCGGCCCTAATCAACAGATAAAAAAAAAATAAAAAAAAA